GAAGGAAGGAGGGGGCAGGCAGGCTTGGTGGTTCCAGAGCCCAAGGAAGCCCCTTACAGAAGGAACGATCCAGAATTTTTGCCTCTGTGGAAGCACTGGGGAACTTAGAGCCCCTGCCCTTGCCACCCTTTGGCACCGATATTGCTTCTAAGATGGCCCTTGTGGTTCTACTAAGGTGGAGCGATCCTGAGTGCCCCAGCACTCAGCGGCCACTGCTGTCACCCAGTCAGAGGTCTATGGGCCTTGCTCAGCTGTGGAGAAGACCTCTAGCCTCTCTACTCAGGTGACAGGTACCCAGGACAGTCCCAGGCCACTTCTGGCCCTCAAACTAGGCAGTTCAGGGTGGGAGATGGTTCTAGAACCCATCCACTCTGGCCTATTGCAGTAGTAGCTTCACTGACCACCCCAGACTGGGCCCCTCCAACCCTCAGTCTAGACCCTGGCCCTCTCCCCACTGGGGTCCCACCTTGGACAGCATCTCGTCAGCCTGGGCCTTCACCTGCCGCTCCAGATCCCGCACCTTCCTTGCCATGGTGGCCACCAGCTCCGAGTCATGGGATACAGGGACTGCCAACCAGATAAAGTCCTAGAGCCCAGGCCTCAAGCTGAGGCTGAAGTATGGGGGTCCAGGGAAGGGGGAGAGGGATCCCCAGGAGTGAAAATAAGAGTAATGACAATAGCTACCACCTAGATAATAGGGACCGTCCTAAACACTTTTCATAAATCAACTCATGTCATCTTCACAACATGCCTCAGAAGAAATGCTTTAGGAAACAGGCACAGAGAGATTCTGTAATTTGTCCAGGTGTATGAGTAAGTGACCATATGGGTCACATCTTATTGAAGTTCACCCTCGATCAAATCAAGCCTCTAAACCTCATCCCTAGTTTACAGGAAAGACAGAGGATAGTGAAGCAAGTTAAACAGCCGACAAAGCCACAGCGTGAGACATTCTGCAAGACAGGGGCCCCGGACTCCTCAAACAGTGCCATTTTCAAAAAGGCAGGGACTCTGTTCTACAAAGTTCTACATTTTCAAAAAGGCAGGGACTCTGTTCTATTATAGTCAAAAGCAGCACATGACCCTCAACTGGCATCTAGATCAGGAAAAAAGGAAATAGCTATGAGAGATATTTTGGAACTGGGGAAATGTGAACGCAGAAGAGATGTTAGCGGGGATTACTGAATCACGCTCGTTCCTAGGTGTGATCACAGTATTGTGCTTATGTATACGCTTATTCTTAGGAGATGCACACTGATGTATTTAAAGGTGAAATTTCATTCTACCCGTAATTGATTTCTAAGTGGTTCATTGAGGAAATACATTTACATTCATGCATGTGTGTGTGTGGAGAGAGAGGAAGCAAATGTGGCAAAATGACAGTAATTGTCGAATCTAGATGGCGGGCATATGGGTGTTCACTGTACTATTATTTCAACTTTTCTGTATAATGGAAATTTTTCAAATTAAAAAGTCTGAGAAAAGAAGAGAGACATAGGAAGAAGCAGGTGCTCTTCTTTCCCTGCATGTCGTCTGTATGTGTGAAGCAGGAACGGCAGACGCCACCGTGCAGCCACGTGGGGTTGACGTGACAGGTGGCTCAGTGGGAAGACAGAGAAACCTGAGCTTTTGACGAGGTGTTTGAGTCGTTGGCGTAACATAAACTTGGAGCTGCTGCTTTAGGTCTTCTTGGTGTGTGGGACGGTAAGTTCTCCTTGATGTTCGTGCTAGTTGAATAAGGATTTTCTTTGACTTGCAGTTAAAAGCTTCTTGACTGATACATGGACGTTTGGGAACTCAGAGCTCTGAGCAAGGCAGAGCAGAGAGAAAGAACCCAGGCAGGAGGAACATCACACTGAAAAGCTAGAGGATGAGAAGGAGCTAGCAAAGAATGCTGAGAGGAAAAACTTAGGAGGCAGGAAGACATCTGGGAGAGTGGTGTCATGGCGACCAAGAGCCTGGGGTGTTCTGAGGAGGGAATGCTAAACTGTGGAATGCTGCTGTGCAGAGCAGTGAGATAGGACAGGCAAATCCTTATATGTCATATGGGGGGCGGGGGAGACACTGGCTGAGTGTGCGGTGAGGAGTGAGTGAATGGCAGGGTTGAGGTCTAGAGAGTAGGTGGATGGCTCCTTAAGGGGAGGACCTGCTCATTATGGTTACTATTCTGAGTGTCCCCAGCAGGGGTGAGGAGATCTTTTGTGACTGAATGGCTGTGGGGCCAGGCTCTTTCTGTCTCCGCTTCCACTTCAATCTCCCTCCCTACCTGTTAAATGGATGGGTGCTGGCCTAAGTGTTCCCATTCCCACTTCAAAGAGGTGGAAATGGAGCTGGAGAGACAGGAAGTTGCTCACCCAAGTATCACAGCTAGTGGAGAACTCTAACCTCCCCAGCTCCTCTAGACTCCCAGCTCAGACTCTGACCCTGCGCTCCACACAGCTCATTCTGCCTGCCCTGTCTCCCCTCTGCCCAGGCCTGCTCAATCCTACCTCCTCTGGGAAGTCTTCCTACTGAACCCCATCCCACGACAGGCACCTCCATGACCACAGTGAAACCACAGCCCTTTGTGGATGCTATGGGTCAGGCGAGGGCTATCTAGAAGACTTTGGGCTTTGTCCAGAGCCCTGCAAAGCAGTAAGCAGATGTCTGGAGATGGAGCTTTACCCTCAGGCCCTTCGTTCCTCAGACTGTGAGTCCTGGAACCACTGTCATCACACTTGGTGGTGACTATAGCCAGGTCCACTCCAGAGGCACTAGCTACAGCCTGGCCCATGGCTTGGCCAGACCTCTTGAGCTAAGGACAGGGCCCATGTAGCTTTATGCCAAACCAGGCCCTGGACAGGCACATGGCCATGATCAACCTCAAATGGAAGCAACTGCCTTGGACTCAGCAGGAGGGGATAGGTGCCATGCCTCTCTGGGCCTCGCTACTCTGGGGCCCCCCCTGCTGCTGGGACCCCTTTAGGCCTCTGCTCCTCACCTTGCCTACTCACAGGAGCACCTATTCGGCCATAGCAGGAAGGGACAGAGATCCTTTCTTCTGAGCTGTGTCCATCATTTGGCATATCCACCTCATCTTCTGCAGACAAGGGTGTCCAGGTTGCTGCTCTGGCGCTAAGGCCCAGAGGAAACTAGGGCCCCGGGCCCCAGCCAAGATGAAGCAGCCTGTACTCTGCCCCAGCAAGCGTATGAGGATAGGAAACTTGGGGTGTTAGTGAACAAAGACCCAACCAAACGAGCCTCTTAGAGTTCTCCCAGCCTGGCTCCTGGGGGCACTTGAGTGACCAATGCCAGCACCTCAGTGGGGATAAGAGTGGGGTGGGGATGCAAGGATCTGAGACTGCAGGAGTCAGGGTAGCAATGTGAGGACAGGACTTTAGGGAGAAAAGGCTATTATGGGCTGGAGGAGGCTGCCAA